AAATGACTCTGACCATAAGTTTGATTTTTTTTTCCCTGCCAGTTCAAAGTCCACCTGAAAATGCGTACGGATGTCGGTGTGCATTTTTTCAAATATATTTCCCTGCCAGTTCAAAATCCACCTGAAAATGTGTACGGATGTCTGTGTGCATTTTTTCGAATATATCCTCTTTTTTTTGCTCTTAAAAAATGCACATTTGTAATAACTTCTCCATAATATAATATCCAGAATCCTGCTGGGATTTTAGCCTACAGTTAGTGAAACATCAGAAGTTGTGGCAAGAATAAAATACAGTTAATTAACCGGGTGCTGGTCATGTTCCTCATGACATACGGGATAGGATGCCAGTAACAGGACAAGGGAAAAAAAAATCCCAGGCTATTTCGCTTCAGTTCACTGGCACAAAATGCAGTTTCGCCAGATCTGAAGGACAGTCCTAATAAGATTCTGACTCATGCACATGACATGCCACAAGGAGGTATCATATTTTTGTGTATGCATCCTGATCCACACATTTATGCACAAATTTTGCACAAACACATATTTATTCACAAGTATGTGCATCATGTTATACACACCGAATTTTGAATGGAAGAACTGAAAAATCTCTGAAAGCGTAAGTATAAAATTGTAAACATTTCTGAGTTAACTTACGGTTCAGAATCTGGAGGTGAGGTAAATTTGCGCTAAAACACAAACTAAATATCTTTCACACCAGTGGGTGTGGGTTGCGACTGGAACACTCATCAATCATCTCCTCTCTTTTTTTTTGTCCCGTATTGTTGTGAGGAATTACCTTTGAAATGCAACAATGAAGGAATCCTAATGCATCTTCATGAAATTGTTTTTGTCATCATGAGGCGTGAGCCAAGGCTGAACACTCAAGCTAATACAGTATGCCTCCATTCTGGAATTAAGGACAGAAGAAATGAAGAAAGTTTCTTGTTTAAAATTGAAATCCTGGGAATACAGTGCAGAGCGGTAAACAGGAATAAGATGATTTGATGGGAGGGATCTTATTTTTCCTCAGATTTCTGTGATCACTGGAGCAAAAAATTCGGGGAAGTACATGGAAAATCTGTTGATCTCCCCTCTCTTTTAAGATTGAGGAGTATATTTCCCTCCTCAAAGAGGGAAGGACAGGCATGTTCTAAATGCTATATAGATGTCCCTCGCCCATATCTATAGAGACCGGGTTCTGGATGTTGATTGGCATGCAGATCATTTGAAAACGGTTGATATAACGCTGTGGTCCATTGAACAGGAAGTATGTCTGCTTTCACAGTTTGATCATCAATGCATCAGTGAACACAGTTGCTTTGCAAAATGTCTGTTTGTGTGTTTGCATGCATGCATTCTCTCTCTCACACTCTTTTGCTGGCTTAATTGAACAGCTTTCCTCCTCACATAGAAGGTATGCTAATTCTGTGGGGAAAGGGCTCATTTGTTCAGGAGGCTTTTCACAACCTGGCAAAAAAAGAAATCTGGGTATTTGTATCCTTCTGCTTGTTTACAGGAGAGCCATGCAGATCCATAAACAGTGTCAACTGTGGTTCACATCAGAACCCTGTGATGCAGTTGGTCTCTGCTCTGAGCGATAGGAAATTTAGGGGCAAGCAGGAGCTATTTGCAGGGTCAGTGGTGACCGATTTCAATCTTTTAAAAAAATCCCCTTGCCAGGAAAACACCACTGAGAGAGAGGCTCTTCATATTTTTCAAGAATTGCATTTTCTTTCATTTCCATTTAAAATCCATGGTGGCGAAACCACGTACAGCGTGACATAAATTCAACAGATCCAAAACCGGTACAATCTCCACAAAGCGTTGTCTGCGTTATTATATTGTCAATCGCCCAGAGAGTGCTTTAGCGCTATGCGGATGGTGTATAAGTCAAAACAACAATATCAGCAGCAACAAAATTAACCTAGATCGTCCTAGTTCTTCATGTACGGTATCTATCCACAATTCACTTCAGATCAGCCTAAATACGAGTAACGTCTGGTCTGTTCCCAAATAAGGGCACACAGGATGATGTGCCAAATTATTAGTTTATTGGAGATTCTCTCTGTGTATTGATTGTCAGGCACCAGGAAGTTCTAGAAATCCCTCCTTATTCGTTCATTCCAATTCACCCTTTTAAAAAAAATGCCTGAAGAGAGAAGTAGATGAGAGTTAGTGATATTCTTAAGAACGCCATATGAGCTACATGGTTGGAGGAGATTTTGAAGTTTTGCCTCTTCAATTATATTCAGAAACCCTCACTTCTATAGTACAGCTATAATGACGGCCGTGTCAACTTGGAATTCTTGCAGCTCACAAGCTGAATGTCAGCTAACAGGGTGATGTGGCCACAAAAAAGGAAAATGATATTTTAGGCTGCATTGAGGATGACTTTAATCTCAGATACCGTATATTTCCGTGTATAAGACTCCCCCATGTATAAGACACCCCCCACTTTTCTAATCCCAAATTAAGAAATCTAAGTGGGGTTTAGCAAGTGTAAGGGGGAAGGGATCAAAGCACTGCAGGATCACTTTGATCCCTGCTTCCCCCTCCACTTGTATTTGTTCTCTCCTCCGCTTTCTTCCGTGTATAAGACGACCCTTAATTTTGACTCGAAAGATTTTAGACAAAAGTATAGTCTTATACATGGAAGAATACAGTAGTATGTTTACAAAGGTTATATTTCATGTTCGAGGGCTTGCTGCCAACAGCTAAAACTTTAAAAAGGAATTTTGACTTTGGAGAAAATCTGGCATTAAAACTCAGAGAAACCATGTGATCTTTCCTTGAACGGTCACAGAGGCACATGTGTGCCCATAGAAGAAACTGCCCAGGGCACCAGGATGGGATCCCATCAGGGTTGGATTGAGCCTTGGGATATGCAATGGAAATGTTGTCATCTACATACTGAAGTCATAAATATTTACATGCCTCCGGGTCAATTCTGATTTATGGCAACCTTTTCCAAGATTCTTTAGGTATAAAGTTCTCAGAGGTGGTTTGCCATTCCCTTCTTCTGTCCTAGGGCCGTGCCACATGCCCAAGGCTACACAGGCTACCTTTTCTCCCAATAAACACAACGAGAAATCAAACTCCCTACCTTTGGCTCCACAGCCAGATACTACGAGCTATCCAGCCAGCTTCAGTTTTGCCATCAAGCCAATTCTGAATTATGGTGACAATTCTCAGGGTTTCCTAGGTATAAAATACTCAGAAGTGGTCCACCATTGCCTGCTTTGAGGGACAGTGCCCTGGGGCTGTGCAGCTTTCAACAGGCTAGCCCTTCTCCCAGGAGGCAGAGAAAGGAATCAAACTCTTAGTGCTGCAACCAGTTGTTTCAAGTCAGTGAGCCATACTACTACTACTACTACTACTACTACTACTACTACTACTACTACTACTACTACTACTACTACTATATTGACTGTTCCACTATGTACCTTAGAAGTTATTAAGAAGATCTAAGAACCTAATAAAAATATTAACAGTCAGTATGAATTAAGACATCTTGAATTATGTATTGTGTATACAGAAAGGAGATTACTTCAGGTTGAATAAGGCTGATTAATCATTGATTGATTGGGCCTGATGTGTAACAGTTGTAAGGAGATGTAGAAACCTAAAGGTTATATACTATCACACCCAAACAAATGGTTATGACAAAATAGAGATCACGAGGACCTACTTTCTACTGAAACAGGCCAGGGTGCTCCTGGTCAATATGGTAACTGAGATGATGGGCATTTCAGACCAAACATATACGGGAAGTTTCACTGTTTCTGCTCCCAGGTGAGCAGCTCACAGTGACAAATTCTTGGGAGGCTGAGACAGATATAACAATAAGCAAACCCAGCTAGGGGAATCCAAAAACAGGGTCATGAGTTAAAGCAGGGTCCTACCAGAGTGACAAGGAGAAAAAGCTAAAACCAAAATCAAACAGCAATCTAGAATCAGGTCAGTAGTAATGGTCAACAAAGAAGAGGAGTCAAAGATGATGCACAACCAAGGATACACTGGAGGCACAATCCAGAGTAAGAAGAAACATGATCACCAACAAACACAAAGTCCTTGGCTGCTGGAGTCCTACTGATGGTTCAGCTACAGGCCTTTGGCCAACTCTGATGTGTAGGTGGTCTTCCTGGTGGTCTTTCTTGAAGAAAGGGCCAGTACTCAGGAGACACTCTACTTTCAAGAAATTCTCAAATGGAGAACGAGCAGCTTTCACTCAAATAAATTGACTGGAAGAATTGCATCTCTTGGGTGAGAACAGAGGGAAAAACTGAACCAGTCTAGCGTCTGGCCAGTTCAGGAAGCCTCTATATTGGACCTTTTGATCCCTTCACCTGTGCCCTCTGAGAGAAGAAGGAAACCAAAAGGGACTACCATTGATGAGGGAGATGGAGAAAGGAAGAAGCACCTCAGCCCAACTGACTTCGTCTCTCCTCTTCTTCTTCAAACAAATGAAATGAGAGAAAATATATGTTGATGTGATTCATCGCTTGCTTGTGACTCAGGGCATGTGACTTCTGCCCACTCCAAATGTGGGTGTGTGTGATTTCATTTCAGCCTTCATTTCTCTCCTTCCTGACTATATCTAGCTCACTTCAGAAGCTGCCCAAGGTGGTGGTGGACCTTGGCACCTTCTGAGGTTGCAGAACTCCATACGATCTTCATGGCCTTCACAGACCATTTGGTAGGGGCAAGCCGTGTTGTCTTTTTCCAGATGTACCTCTGAAGAAACATCTGTCGGCTTGCTATGTAAACTAATCTCCCACAATTTCCTCCGTGGGTATGTTGCAAGCGGGTTTTTTATGCCTCTCCGTGCATCCAGCTAATGCACAAGCCAGTTTTAGATGCTGTCATTAAGAACGACACCATTTGTGAATCTCTGTTGCAGAGCGTGGAAATCATAAACCATCTAACAGTTCGCTAATTAAAATAATGTTTGTTAAGGCTGTCTGTAATTCCAAACTGATTAGAAGTGGTTTGTGTTTCAGGGTGGTTATGCTGCCTACCGGTACGCCCAGCCTACCACAGCTACCGCAGCGGCCTACAGTGACAGGTAAGAAAGCCTTTATTGCCGAATAGTTACATCACTTGGACATTTTTGGGACTTAGCGGTCTTGAAAACTGCCTTTCTTTAATGTCTCCCAATTGTTTTCTGGCTCCACACATAGATGGAGCCTATAGAGATGCACAGCAGTGGAAGCTGGTGTCTCCAGAATTGATGAGGTGGTGGTGAGGCTTTCCACTCTTGGTCTGAACTTTACAAGAGATCTCCTAGGCGCTGAAATCAATATTGAAATAGATTCAGCACCTTGGACAGCGTCTTTCAATTTCTGTTTTGTATCCAGAATGGGTTCGCCACTCCATTAACATAGCAGCCTCCGGCCTCCACTGTTATAATCCAGGAAGCACTGTTAATTGTAAACCTAGTTGCTCACCTCATAAGGAACACACCAGTGTGTAGTAACAGACAAACAATGTTTGTTATGAATAAAAGGCTCACCAACCTTTCTAAGGATGCGGTGAGTAATACAAATAGATCATTGAGATGTTACATGTGCCTTCTCTCTAATCTGGTGCCCTCTCTAAGTGTCGGAATACAGCTGCAACATCCCTAGCCAGCACAATTGAGTTCATCACATCTTGAGGACATAAGTGTGGGACAGTTTTGCTCTGTCTCACAAGGGGTAAAATCCTGCTCGTGCAGGTATATTGTGAAGTTCTGTTAAGGAACGGTGCAACTGAGCTGCACAATCGGCCGGGCATCACCAGCATGACCAGTGCACTGGTAGAAGTGTTGTGTGGTTAGCATTTCTGCCTGGGCACCATCATAGCTACTGTAGGCATAACACTTGAATCGTAGCCACATGTGAACGTTGCCCATTCAGATCATTTTGCTCCCTTTATTTCCTTGAATAAAATCACATCCGTGTCACATGCCCAATGTAGTTTTAAGAAACAAGAGCATTTCAGATGCTATAAAAAGTCATAAAAAGACACAGGAGGTTTACCCCAACCCATCTTGTCCTTGAGAAGTTTCATAGTCTTCACTGAAGCTCAGTTTGATGTGCCTCAAGCCAAACGTCCTTGAGAGCAGTTAACGGATGGTGAAGATAACTTTTCCTGGACTGCGCCAGTTAAGGGTGAAGGTGGTTGCATGTTTGAATGTGGCTTTCCCATAAAAACATATGTGTACATGCATGTCTTGCATCAGTCAGAAATGGACACCCTTGAGAAAAAAGCTAGGTTGAATCATTCTCCTAGTGGTTCCCAACCTTGGGTTCTTGGCCTACAACTCCCAAAAATCCTGGCCAGTACAGCTAGTGGTGAAGGCTTCTGGGAGTTGGAGTCCAAGAACATCTGGGGACCCGAGGTTGGGAACAACTGTCCTAGCTGCAATGTTTTTGTATTGGACTGGCAGAGTCCAGGAAAAAAAAAACCTGTATTATTTCTTTGTTTCACTTGGTAGCTACCTTAATTTGAACCTCAGCTGGTTCGATTTGGATGAAATTAAACATGACAATAGGGAAGTGAGGGTTGTGTACAAAAAAAGGGGGACACTAATATGATACAAAACTAAGAAATCCAATAATCCAATAAAATCCCCAATATCTAATTTAAAAAACTTGCTCTTTTCCAAAATTCTTTAGACATCTTTAAAACCTCCATATGGATTTAAATATCACTGCAGGTGATTTTTTTTTTGAAGACTGTCACTGAGTTTTCACAAACATTTGTCTGGAGCATCTGAATAAAATAAAATTAAACATTAAAGTACAATTACTCTTTGAAGGAACTGCGGAAACATGATTGATGTCCCAAAGAGGACTTAAGACATATTTCTGGAGGCCCAGCTTTGAAACATGGAAAAGCTTAAGGATCTGTTAGGACATGACTAGTTCACTCAGTAATTCATTCAATTTATTAATAATCCATTTTTCCTCCAAAGGAGATCAAGGCAGAATAACAATAGCTCTTAAATATTTTTTAAGGAAGTACCTACTGGATACATTCAGTATTAAAAGGAATAACAGTGGTATTAGCAGTAGTAACACCAAATTTCTTACTGCCCTATACTTTGCTCTGAAATTCCTTGGGGTCAAAGCAAATAAGGAATCTAGCAAAGGTAGCACCATCAGGAAGCAACAGAGAGCATACACATTTGCTGGATGTAACACAAATATTTTTACTTAATGAGGATTGCTTTACAAGTTGAATTGTATTTCTAATGAGATTTAAGGAATCCCCCAAGTGCTTCACCAAAAATAACACCAGCTCCTAAAATGGCTTAGGAATGGACCTAAGACTGTGCTCCACACATAGCACAGGGCTTTCAGTTTTTGAGTACAGTGGTGCCCCGCATAGCGATGTTCCAGGATTAACGTCGCTATCCGGATTCTTCACTATGCGGGGGGGGGGACCCATAGGAATGCATTAAACTCCATTTAATGTGTTCCTATTGGGGAAAAACTCACCGGTAAGCAAAGAATCCCCCATCCGGCCGCCATTTTCGCTGCCTCGGTAAGCAAGGCGCGAAAACGCTGCAGGCAGCCATTTCCCCCCAGCTGGGTGGCACTGGCTTTGGAGTGACCGCCGGGGAAGCCTCCACCGTGGTCACTCCGAAGCGCCTGCCGGTTAGCTGGGGGGACATGGGGCCTATGGGGAAAACTCACAAAGCGATTTTTCTCCACAGGAAACATTGCAATGCATTAAACGGGGCGCTCGTTATACGAGGCACCACTGTATTTACTTGCCTTTGTAAATGAACTGTGGCAAGCTCAGGGTCAAGCCAGATGAGCTGTTCAACACATATTTAGTAAGAGTGCTCCCTCCAGTGGTGAATGCTATCTGTTATAATCATGGCACATGATTTTCTTTACCTTGTTTCTTGCATTGCACCACCCTTTGTTTTGTGATTGGTCATTCACAGGTAGTCGTGGGCTTTCCAGATTTTACTCCTGGGAAACATGTTTCTTGAATGGACTAATGAAATGAAAATGGGCAAACAGCAGAGGAAATACTTTCTCCTTAATGTAGGGTTTGACCAGCAGCCTCTTTGAGCTGCTTGTCAGTTGGTGGAAGTGTGCCCTTCCAGATTTAAACTACAAGTCCCATAATCCCTCACTATTTGCTTCACTGGCTTCAGTTGATGGAGGTTGCCATCCATGAACCCCTGAATGGCAACATGTACCCAACTGTTATCCTAGTAAAAATGAGTAACCCTACCAAGACAATGCTTGTTACAATTATTACTACTTCTACCACTGCTACCGTACTACGATCACAACAATCAAAATAATCATAATAATCCTTCTCTTGAAGAAATTCAGCAAAAAAGGTACCTGAAGTCACTTCCTGAAAATATTAATAATTGTAGTTTATTATTTATTTTATTTTATTTTATTGAGTCATACCCTGCCCATCTAGACCAAAGGTAATAACAAAAGTCACACCAAAAATAATAATACTGTACGTGGTTTTGCATTGCCTGGTCTATCAAAAATTAAGAAATTCAGCAAAAAATGTACCTGAAGTCACTTCCTGAAAAAATTAATAATTGTTATTTATTATTTATT